TTTTTTCAACTTTAATTTGGAGCAATAAGAAAACCGTTAATACAACTATAGTAAAAAGTTTTGTAGATCACTACCAAGTTCACCATTTAACAAAGACAAAGCTAACCTAATAAATCTGAATAAATTCAAAATCACAATTTTACAAAAAAAATATATAAAGTAAAATAAAGTAACCTAAGCATCTAATAAATATGAACTAAAACTTTTTCCAAGTTTAATTTTGAAAAAAAAAAAAAAACATTTAGACAACTTTGATAAATAGTTTTGTGGATCACTACCAAGTTCACCCTTTTACCGAGAGAAAGCTGACCCAATAAATCTGAATTAGATCAAAATCACAATTTTACAAAAAAAAATTTATAATAAAATAAAGTAACCTAATCATCTAATAAATACGAACTAAGACTTTTTCTAAGTTTAATTTTGAAAAATAAAAAAAAACGTTTAGACAACTTTGGTAAATAGATTTGTGGATCCCTAACAAGTTCACCATTTTGCAGAGAGAAAGCTGATCTAATAAATCAAAATTACAATTTTACAAAAAAAATATATAAAATAAAATAAAATAAAATAACCTTCTCATCTAATGAATACGAACTAAAACGTTTTCCAAGTTTAATTTTGAAAAATAAAAAAAAAAAACCATTTCGACAACTTTGGTAAGCAGTTTTGTAGATCACTACCAAGTTCACCATTTTATAGAGAAAGCTGACCCAATAAATCTGAATTAAATCGTGTTTCCTCTTCAACTTTCAATTTGCATATTAAAAAATCAAAGAATTAGTTTTAATGAGTTCAATTGAATAGTTTCGTAAATACCATCAAGAGCACCATTTAAAAAAAATAGATAAATCTGAATTAAAACTTTTCTGCTCAATTTCATTTTGCATAATAAAATAAAAGATGAATTTTGATAAACATGGACAATAGCTTTGTAGATTTGTATTTTTTTATAAAATCATTTTAATCGATGCTGCACTATTTGTAATGTGCACAAAATTCAAAGCAAACAAAAAACTAAAGGAAAAAAATCAAATTTGTACTTTACTGTTTATTGTTTTATGTCACGGCCATGGATTATACTTTTAAATAGGTTTCGCTTTAAATAATCAATATATATAAAGACCCTCGTAAAAGTATTAAATCACTTAATGTACATATTACTTTTCATTTAATGCTTACAAAATATATTTTTTATACTTACACAATATGATTGCAAAAGTGAGGGACGCAATTTGGCTTACAACAAATTTTCAACGTTTGAAGGCAATAAAATTCTAAATAAAGTTATTTTACTTTTATTTTTCAAAATCTTGTTTTAAATGAAGAATATTTTTTACTAACCTAACAAAAGTGGTTAGTTTATTTTAAGTAAAAATTTATTTATAGCGTTAGCGGGATCATTTTGATGATTTCTCCAAAGAGAACAGAGGACCAATATATATAT